GACTCTCATGGTAGAGATTAATGACCATCACAGGTTTACTGCACTCTTATAGGGGTTCCATCAGCGCTGCTTCTTTGGCCGTGGTGTTGGGGCCACGGGTGGTAAACAGTGCGTATCTGCATGGACATCTCAGCCTGCAAGTGTCAGTAGATGCTCTGCCAAACCAAATTCCAAACAGGATCAACAGGAAACTTGGTCAACAGGAAACTTGGCATCCCCTGGAGCTATTTTTTGTTTAAAAGTAGGGGGGGATGGCTAGCCCCAAAGGGACTGGTACAGAGAGTAAACTCTACATTTTGGGGTGCATGTCCTCCACCCCTGGAAAGTAATGTCATGACTATGACATGAGGATGTGCTGGAGATGAGCCCAGGGTCGTGGTGTCACAGCAAAATGACCATCTGCTTGGTAAGAGTGGAGCCATGTCTTGCATTGCTTGACCTGTTGGGCACAAGGCCGCCTGAGGCCCGGTCCGGTTCAGCGTTCGGTGAGGCCACGGCAGCACGGGGGAGGCAAGCTGCTTGCTTGCGATCCTCCCCAGCCAGAATGAATGACTGTCGGTTCTACACGTCCTCTTCCCCCTTTGTCACGTGTCAGTCTCTGCAGCCGTCCCCGGTCCCTTGGTTAGTGCACGACCATCACCTCTGGCTTGGGCTTCCTGCAGTAACTCCCTGTCTGTCCTTCCCGTGTGCATTTTTGTCTCTCCTTGAATCCATTCTCTGTTTAGTTGGATGGTCCTTTAAAATTAAACATGAACAACAACGACAACTGATCATGACAATCTCTTGCTTAAACTATTTCACTTGGAAAGCCAAACAAACAAAAAACCTTCAGCACCTTCCCATGATACTTCATATCCTATCATGTGACTCTCGGGGGTTTCCAAATTTTGCTTCTTACTACTACTCTTAGATTCAATTTTGACATCCTCACAGGTCAACCAAACTGGCCTTTTGAGTTTCCTCAGCATGATTTCTACAAACTGTTTGTTTGTTTGTTTCACCTAGAACCCTCCTGCATTTATCCAACCCACTTTCTTTTCCTTTCTTGGTCTTGGCTAACACATAGTCTCCCTCTAGGCAGAACTCAAGCAGAACTTCCCAGGAGGCTTGTGCAGGCGATGTCAGCATCCCTGTCCCATAGGGTCCTGCAGCTACCTGGTGTTACTAGGTTCATTTCAAGTGCCTTCCTGAGCATCAATAGAAGAGAGGTGCCAGGAGGGGGCGCCCGAGTCTCTCGTGCTCGCCACAGTAGCCTCCCTCTCAGTAGGTCACATTCAAGACGCCAAGTGCACATCGAATTAATAATGAATGATTGACAGAAAGGTGCCTTGCACAGGACCACTACTTGTCACTCTTGATTGCCTGCCGGCTACCCAGGCCTTGTTATCTCCGGTGCAGCAGCTTCCTGGAGCTGAGGCTGCTCTCTGGCCCCTGTGCTGTTTGAAGTCTGGAGTCTGGCCAACGTGACCCTGATTCTAAGATAGGAGCAGAGAACAGATTCTTCAAGCAATAGATCAAGGTAGTTGAGGCTGATGGGAGCAGGATTCTGAAATGGATTACTAAATGCATTATTAAATGCACAGGACTCATCTGGAGTCCAATAAGCATTTTATTTTAATGAATTAGAAATGAATATTTGCGAGCACTTAGAAAGGAAAAAGTTGATCAACATGAGTCATCACTGATTAAAAAAATAACAGGCTGTTTCTGTATTTTGGAGTTTCATGGTGGCGTTTTGATAACCTTCCCCTCGCCCCTCCTGCCTTGGATTCTGTGTGATGAGTATGGGAAGCTGGAGAAACGGGAGACACAGGGTCAAGGCATGAAAATCTGGGGACCCCCCCGCCCAAACACCTGTCCATCTGCCAACAATGCAGAGCTGCTTTGTCTAGCTAATCAGTTTAGAGTTGAGGCTTCGGGGAGTTTCACTGTCCAGCCGGCTCTCCCAGCTCTCCCTCCCTGCTTCCTGCCATCCTTAAACCAAGACGGGTGGTCCTGCAGAGGAGATCCTGAGCCCACTTCCCTGCGCCTGAGAGGTAGACAAGGCTGCTCATGTACAGAGGCCACGCCCTGCCCAGGTGGGCTCACTGCAAGTGCAGGGGGAAAGGCTGCGCTTGCATTCTCACCCCTCCCCCGGCCGCCCAGCCATGGCCCTCCTCTCTGCTGTGTGCGGCCTGAAGATGGAGTGGCCCCACCTCCGTCCAGGAGCTGAAATACAATCGGAACAGTAATACCAGCTCTTTCCCTCCCCTATGGCTATAGACCCATATGTGGGGGGAAAAAGGGGATGTTGCTCCTTTCGGGGGACTCTGTTAACATGACTTGTGACTGGAGGACTGGTGTGGACACTAAGAGCTAAGGCCCTGCTCGGAGAACTTGGCATGTATCAACTCCTTTCATCCTCACTCAGCCCTCCCAGGCAGGTATGGTTCTAATCCCATGAGGTCTCACTTGCATAGGGTCATGTGGCCAGTGAATGGACATGCTGAGATTTACACCAACCAGCAGCCAAGGCTGGAGATGGAGCCCTCACCCATGACACCACCGCTCTGCTGTGCCCTCTGGCAGACACCAGCGGAGCCTGGGATGGAGGGGATTTCTCTAAGGCATTTGACACCTAGATGTCTTTATGAATACAATGAAAAAATAAGACTTGGCACTTGTATAATTCAGAGGGTTACTAGCAGCCGAATGAAGCAGTGAACCAGAAGAATGCTGATCTCCACTGTGGCAGAGGGAGCCCCACAGTGGGGTGTCACCCAGGCCCCAAGTGCTCTCAGCTGATCTGCAGATATGGGAAATACAAGATGCCTGAATCAAACCCAGAGACTCGGAGAGGATGGACTGGGGCTTTTGTACCCACGACTAGCCCCCCAAGCGCGGGCGTGGCCTAACCGTGACTCGGCAAAGCCGGCCCAGTCTGCTCCTTGCCGGGGGTCAACGGTGAGGTGTATTTGAAAAATGATGGATGAGGTCAGGCTGTACTCACTGTTTTTAAAAACTGGCTCAGGCTCACTGATTGCATTAATTAGTCAATTAATTTAAGTAACGACTAAAGTTTTGGGAAGGGCAGAGTCGGTGTTCTTCAAAGGGAAGAGACGGCTCAGAGGGGAGACATTAGAAACTGTGTCCCAGGAAGATACGTGAGAGTAACTGAGGATGTTTACTGCTCAGAAGAGAGCACTTAGTCAGGATGGGAGGAGGGTGGCCCTAGAGGACCTGAGGGTTATCTTGCGGATGCGACTTAGGTACTTCGTGCGGTCTGCAGAGGGCAGAGCCGGGAGCGAAGTTTACGGGGAGGTGGGTCTGTCTCGCTGCTGTGCCAGGAGGGGACGCAGACTTCCCCGTCTACTCTTGGGACAACTGTAACAGCTAACATGCACCGGGTGCTCACCATGTCTGCACTAAAGTTAAGGTCTGTGTATGTCGGCTAGAAAGTTGTGGATCAAACTCATACTCACCCCCGCAAGCGTCTGGGCATCATTAGCAAAGGATGCTTTTACCGACTGCTTATTAAATTACCTCATTTGATGGTTTCCCCGTTGACTGTTGTTATTATATCATTACTGTTATAGATGAGAGAATAGAGAGGTTCAATTACTTTCCTGGAATCATCCTGATTTAAGTTATTGGCTTATAACGATCTAGACCCAAGTATTCTGGCTCCTGATACTTCCTCCCAAGGTTATGCACACGGCAAGGGGTCAGAAGAGCTGTTCACTGGAAATATAATGTGAGCCACTAATGAAAGTCATATATGTCATCTCGCTTTTTCTAGTGGTCACACTGAAAATGTAAAAAGAAGGCCCTGGCTGGTGTAGCTCAGTGGATTGAGCTCGGGCAGTGAACCAAAGTATCGCAGGTTCGATTCCCAGTCAGGGTACATGCCTGGGTTACAGGCCATGACCCCCAGCAACCGCACATTGATGTTTCTCTCTCTCTTTCTCCCTCCCTTCCCTCTCTAAAAATAAGTAAATAAAATCTTTTTAAAAGTAAAAAAAAGTTAGTGCAGACAGTTTAAAAAAAGAAAATGTAAAAAGAAACCAGTGAAATTATTTTAAGACATATATATATAAATAAAATAAATGTATATCTTAACCCAATTGACTCATTACATCTGAACTATTATCATTTGTGGAAAGGATGTAACCAACACTAAAATTATTAACACGCTATTCTACATTCTGTTTTTCACACTCAGTCCCCTATGTTCTCCTAACTGAACATCTCAGGACTAGCCACATTTCAAGGGGTCAGTAGCTCCTTGGAACTCTTGGTTGCTAATGAACGGCTAGCACAGGGCTCGGATTTCCACCTCCTGGCGGGTGCGGGGTGGTTGCTGCAATTTACGGAGGAGCTTTACCTTTCTACCTTCAATTCTAGTGCCTCTCTGCCCCCAGTTTGCTACTTTCTTTGGCAATGGAGGGGAATGCTTTGCACCTGCCTTTGCGTCAGCTCTGGTGGGGCCAATGCAGATATTTCTGACGTTGGGGAGGGCAGGTGTTTCTCCTGCAACCTTCCAACAAGCTCATTTCCCTCGTGGCAGCTAAGCAGGGAGTAAGCGTGCTTGATTTCTGCTTTGCAAATGACTGAAGTAGGTTGCGTGAAATAAATAGTGTACCCCAAATATCAAACTGGGGGGTAGAACATCCTGCTCTGTGCAAAGTTATGCATAATTGAGGGAGTCCCTGGCTTAACTGGTCAGAAATAAATCCTGTAGTCCATCAATGCCTACGTGAGTGTTAGGGGAAGGAAACGTTCTGCGGTTATTTTTGCCACGGGGCCCAGGGCTAGAGGCAGAGCAGCAAAACAAACACACCAGCCTCTTCAAGTAGCTTTAAAACAACCCACCGAAGTTTCCCCTCAAAATTCCAAGCCAGTCGCCAAAAATGAATGCATGCACAGATATCACGCGCTAGGGTCTCCTGGAGGTGGCGCTCTGAGGGTGACGAAGTCACAGTTAATTAGTGCCTGCAAAATGCCGCGTGTGAGCTCATCGGAGAAGTCAGGCTCTGCACACATATTATTTATAGCAGATCTGAGGCGTGATCAGTGTTTGACATTTTCCTCTTTTTAAGTAGGGGGACTTGAAAAAGTCGTGGGCACTGCCCTCTCATCGCCCCCACCCCCTGCCCCCGGGACAAAGTGCGGTGGGCCGGCGCCAGGGCGCGGGCAGGGGGCGACGCACCAACCACGCGAGTCCAGGCGCAGGTGCCGGGGCGGCAGCGGCCACCCCGCAGCGTCGGCTCGGGAGGAGAGTTCGCGGCTGATCTCGGGATGCTTTGCAGATACACGCTGTGTCCCTGGCCAGCAGGAGGAAGGAAGAGGAAGTGAGAGCAGCGGCAGCCGGCGGCGCACAGCCGGCCGACCCGGAGTGTAAGTGCGTGTGCTCCGGCGAGCGCGAGCGGGCGAGGATGGGCGCGGGATAGAGGCAGACCACCCACACCGCCGCGGCCGAGCAGGGCCACAGAGCCGCCCGCCCCCCTTCAATGGTCCCGGGTCGCCAGAGCTCTATTCGCGGGGAACCTTCGCCGCCACAGCCGTTGTCCGGCGACCCTGGGCAGGTTCGTAAAGTTTCCTGGGCTGGCGCCGCGCCCTGGCTCGCTGACCTCAGCGCTACCGGGGAGGGAGATGGGCTGGGGCGAGGGGGAGGCGTCCTGCCCCGGGGGACTCTGGTCGCCGCGGAGACACTTTTGTTTCCTCCCTGGGGGCGCCCGGGCTCCGGCGGGGGTGGCCGCGGCGCTCTGCGGGGTGAAGGCTGTGGGCGCGCTGGGGCGCTCTGCAGTTGGGGAAGTCTGGGCAGAGGGGGAGCGGGGGAAGTGGGAGCGGGGGGGAGGGGGCCCCGGGATGAGGCGCAGGGCCCGGGGCCCGGGGCCCGGGAACCCGCAGAAACATTTCGGCCAAGGCCCCTGGAGGGGGCCGCCGGAGGACTGCGTTGCTGGCGCCGGGGGATTGGGGACGGGGGACGGTGGGTTTGGGGGCTCGGAGATCCGAGAAGCTGCGCCAGAGAAGAAACTGGCGGCTCAGACTCCCGGCTTCTCTCGGGCACCGGCAGAAGGGAGGGAATCCCCCTGCAAGCGCGCTCCTGGTAGGGGGCGGTGATAGGCTAGGAGGATGGAGGGCCGGGAGGGACAGGAGGGGTGGTCGGGGCAGCTGGGAGCCCCGGGGACCACTATTAGTAAATAGCCGCCTCTGGGGACATGCCGAAGTCCCCGCTGGGACCGGGAAAGACGGTGGGGGCTTCGGTGCGAGAGACCAGCATCGGAGAGGGGGCGCACCGGGCGCGCCTTCTGAGAAGGGGGCAGCAGAGCTCTGGGGACCCTGCAGTCGGAGCGGAGAGGGGCGGCAGCGATCGCACGAGTAGCTTTGAGGAAGAGGAAATACAGAACTCAGGCGGCCCGGGGTGTGCGCGTGTGTTTGGGGTTGGGAAGTCCGTGTTGTGCCGCGGGTGCTCGCGAGAGCAGCGAGTGTGTGTGTGTGTAAGATTGATCGATCTAAAGGGGCTCGGGAGCCGGGGCCTCCCCGTTGAGTGACCCTCCCCCTCCTGGGGGCGGGTAGCTTTTGAAGTTGGCGGCCGAAGGCCAGGGTTGCTGGTGTTAGGTCCTACAATGACCTAAAAGCCCAAGTGCTTAGCCCCCAAGTGGTGACCTGGCCATGGGGGCCTCTGGAGGACCCCTGAGACTTGAGACTCCCCTAACAGACTTTGTGATGTGCTGTGCCCCGACCATGCAACTCCTAACACCCCTGGCCATTAGTAAGGCAGACTTAATTCATTATACAGTATTTAAGATTTTAGAGAACCTAAGACAAGGAAGGGTTTCTGCCTCAGGAGGCCAAGGCCGGCCACAAGTTCCCTGTTGAGGGCTGGCTACCAGTGACTTAGGGGTGGGGGTGTAAGTCGTCAATGACCTGTATTTATGTAACGACTCTTGCAGGGTGACTTGGATAGGCAGAGAGACTGTTAGCTGGAAAAGGCTGGCTGGCAGCAGCTGTTACTAAGGGCTTCCTCGGGTCATGATCTTCCACATTATCTCACCTCCGCACTTACTTCCAAGGTTGTTTCAAGGAGTGGCGTCCCCTCCCCTGGGGGTGGTAGATTAGAGGGGCAGAGTGCCTGCTCTCCTGGAGCTGACCGTGTCTCCTTTGAGCTGACCTTCTGAACCTCTGCTCTTCCCCGAGGAGCATTCGCTCTGTCTGCAGGGTTGTGGTGAAATGTGTATGTTGCTTTCTCTCCTACTCTGTTTATTACTCAGAGAATTTTGTTTTAAAAGTTGGAGATACTGGTGCTTGGGAAATTGTGAGGGAATGACCTGGGGTACGGGGGTTCTGGAACTCCACAAGGGTGTTGGGGTCAGGAGGGAAGGGGGTTGGGGGAGGTGTTGGGGAGTATTGGGGAGGGGCAGGCTGGGAGGCAAGCCCGGACCTGGACTGAACGGAACTAAACACCAGGAGCAGTCCCTGGGCTGCGGGGTGGGTGGTCCTGTTGATGACCATGCCCACCAGTCCCCCCCCACCCCCTCCCATGTCCCATCCCCCATCCCCCACCCTTCTTAATTCAGCCGCTGTGCCTGCCTCACATTCTCCTTCACCAAGCGCCCTCCCCAGGGCCTTTGCACAGCCTGGTCCTTCAGCATGAGGAGCTTTCCCCTACCTGTGCAGACGGCTCACTGCCTTGCTTCCTGAGGTCCCTGGCCTGCAGGAGGCCTCCCCTGAACACCATCTATAAAAGAGCAACTTGCTGCACCCCAGTCCTCCTAAGTTACTCAGTTTTCCCTGTGAGTACTTAACAGCCCCTGGCATTATGTATGGATGTGTTTATTTGATCGTCATGTGTCTTCTCCCATAAGATGGAATTCCACGAGGGCAGAGACCTTCTCATGGTTATAGGTCCAGAACCTAGACAGCTTCCCAGCATAAAGATGCTGAATAAATACTTGACTGAGTGAATAAGAGATGCCTGTTATGGGAGAGGCTCACTGGGGAACTACGCCAGCAACATACTGTATGTGGCATGAGCAGCAAGCAAGAAGCCCAGGTCCCAGACTTGCGTTCCCCCCCACCCCTGTGCCCAGCGGCTCTTCTTGCAGACCCCTGTCTGCCGGAGTAGGCCCCTGTCTTGGAATTTCGGACTGAAGAAAGGAACAGAGAGGTAGTTCATCGGGAGAGTGGTACACAGGTACAGATGATCAGTAACGAGATCTGGTGTGTGTTAGATACTCCACTAGGAAGAGGGAGGCCTACAGTGTATCCCACTGCGCTCACCAGCAGGCGGAAGTGCGGGCAGGGAGGAGAGGAGGAGAGGGAGGAAGGAGGCACCCGCAGGGGACCACAAGAGAGGAGCAAGCGCCTGGAAGAAAAAGGAAAGAGTGAAAACAGATGGGGGGCTTCCACAGCGCCGCTAAACCACAAGCATTTATCGAGTTACAGTGTTCAGCTAGGACAATACTCGCATGTTTTAAAGTCATTTGCCCCCCGTGGGCGTGTGGTGTGAGTGGGTGGGAGAGGTGGAGGGCGGGGGCTTTGAAGCCTTTGCAGAGAGGATGTGGGTGGGGGGCGTGCCAAGGAGCTCAAGTGTGTGCACACTTTGCTTATGTTATCATCTTTCTCAACACCACACGTCTAGAGAGAATGGTTCCCGTGGAGCACTTCCCCTGTCCGGATGGAAGACAGTGGGTACCCTTCAGGCTTGTCGGTGAAGCCTGCAACCCCTTTCAGTGCCTGAAACCACCCGCATGGGTAGATTGGCTTACCGGACATGCATTCTGTTGAAGCTGGGAAAGGTGGGGGGTCACTGACCATCTGTGCATCACGGAGCCCCAGTGTTTGCCCTCGTTACGCAACTGCAGTTGCTTCCTTCTAGTTAGCCAGAGCGGTGTCTCTGGAGCGTGGGGTTGTCACCCGGGAGCAGATCACGGTAGCCAATGAGTAGGCCAGACGAGTGGTTTAAAACACGGACGGGAAGAGACTGCAGCGGGAAATAGAGTGTTTCAGGAGACAGACATCGAATCCTAATGTCCAGTGTAATCCCTGAATGTGGCCAGGACAAAAAAAAAAAATCCCTTAATAATTCCGAAGGCCCTAGGAATCTACCTCTTTAACCAATTGGCCAGAGATTCTGATGAACGTGGTTCATAGTGCCAAACTTTAAGAAATGCTTAGCTGCCTCCCTCACCTTACAAAACACTGTTGGTTTTCTCTCCTGCAAGAGATGCAATTTGCACATGTTGAATCAGATGCAGTAAATGCATCAGCCACTGACTTAACTTTGAAATGCTTCTGTTTCTAGAACTTGATGGGGTGCTAGGCCCTGGTGCTGCCATCTTGGCGGAACTGGAAATCCACGTGGCACGATTTTCACTTGAGTGCTATGGAGAAGCAGTAGCTTCATCCATAGTAACTAGCCTTAGAATACAACAACTGCTGTTCTGGTCAACCTTTAATTTAGAACTTTGGGGGGTCTTTGGAGCTTTGCTCAACTTTTCCCTTTCATGTTTCACGCCTGGTGTTACCCCATCGGCATGATTTTAATTGCTTTCAGAGTCTTTGCAAAGACCGTAGTGATGTGCTCTGGTGGCAGCCGTGCTGCTGTGCCGCATAATTAGATTAAGCCTCGGAACCGACCTGGGCTTGGGAACTGGCTGTGCAAAGAAGAGGCAGAGAACTTCAGCACTGTCCCCAACGTGAGGACTTTGCAGGCCAACCATCCAGGGGACAGAGGGCGGCTCCCGTGAAATGCCCGTGGCCTGTGACAGCATTTGGATATGTCTAGCGTGGCCTTTTTTAGGTGCAGCAGAGCCAGCCCGAATGCCCACGGCCCATGCCGGTTGCATTGTTCTGTGTTCTGGATAAATTTGGTGGTCTGAGTGTTAATCAGAACTTACCGGTGACAGCCAGAACTGAAGCCTGCAAAACACTAGTAGGTTGCATGGTGATGTTGACTGGTGACGTAGCGCTCTGTTTTCTGAACTTGAACGGGATAAGTGCAGGGACCGGTGGAGCGGAGTTGCGTCACCGCCCTGGGGTGGGTGAACAGCAGAGTACCCGATAGGCGTCCACCCGTGTGGGGGGAGGAACGCTGCCAGCTCACCCACCAGAACAACCACGGCAACCCGCGGCCGAGCGCTGGGGAGAGAGAGTAGTCACACGTGTAAATGGAAGATGATCCTCAGTCCGGGTTCTAGGCCCCCTACCCACAACCCCTGACTTCCAGAATCTGAGCAGGGTTGTTATCGGAACCTCCGCTTTAGGAACTGAGGCTACAGCTGTGGCTATTTTCGTCCTAACAGTTAAAGCAGGGAACGGAACGTGCCTCGGTAGGAAACACTGGCCAACCCACTACTAGCTGGGCTCCCCTGCTGCTCTGTGTTGGGTGCGTTGCACCTGCTGGGTAAGGAGCAGGGGTTGGAGGGCACCATGATCAGGTGAGCCCCGACTGAGCGTTGCCCCAGTGGGCTTGGGGTCACAGCATCCATGGGACGGTTTTCTCCTCGTGCTGACAGCCGATACTCGTCCTTCTGGTATGCTGTTTGGAAATGATGGGGAATAGCCATCATTGCCAGCATTG